AGGGGGTTCTCCTTCTTGCTCTCTCCGAACTTCGGTTCCTGCTCATGTGTATTTTAGACTCTTCGCTCAATTTTGTCTCTTCCGGGGCTTCTGGGACTCCTGAGGTTTCTGAGACTCCATTTACCGCTACTCAGATTGTGAATCAGGCTTTTAATCAAACATTTCAGGCTCCTTTCACTTTGTAACTCATTTTGGGACTCAAGACTCATACGAGAGGTGCTCTTTGGATATATTAGTGAATCAATAAACACTTAGTGATTATTGTTTTGGATATTCAGTGAGAGTAAGAGTATCCTACTATATATAATCGGCGGTTGTGTGTGTGTGTCTGACCGGAAATTCATAACTTCACCCCCTTTGGACCCAGAGCGCTCAAACTTATATATATAGGGGGCCGGAGGTGAACACTGATGACGGGTGGCGGGAAGTGATAACTACTGATAGGAGCTGATAACGGACGTCGAAATGTTGATGTCACCAATTTCGTTACACCGTTCGCGTTGACAGGTGGAGAGTTTGCACTCATGTATGATATGTGGGGTGAGGCGGGGACCAAGAAGTTGAGTGAACGAATGTGGTAGCAACTGATAAGAACTGATAAGGGGCGTCGTGTGGATACCACCAGTTTTCGTTGCAGCCTTCGTGGTGACAGTAAATATTAGCTCCTACACGTTGCGTGGAGGTTGGGACCGGGACACCGATTGCGAACAGTATGAACTGATAACAAATGACAAGGAATGATAAGAGCGTTTGAATGCAGGTCTCTCCAACTTCGTTGCAATTATCACTGGCAAGCGATCAAGGTGGCGAGGGTTGAATGTAGGTGACAGAAAGTGGTATGAGCGGCAACTGTACTGATAAAAGTAGCGACAGTTGAGCGTGCACTCAATTGAACTAAACCAGGTCCCTAGCACGTGAATATGTTCCATTCCTACCCTTTCATCTAAAGAAGCAAAGAAAGTTGAGCTGCTCAACTTGGACCAATAGCGAATTTCCATTATATTTCCAATTTCCATCATAGCTCGGTTAGATGCTGATTGATTGGTTATATTTCACTTACACACCGATTCTTCAATTGTGGAAATTCTATAAACCGCTAAATCATCCGAGCTCGATATCAATGCTAAATGTTTACGAAGTCATGATAAGTAATTTTCATTCCGCATGCTACTGCGCGCATTACGCTACAATCTTCAGCAAAATTGGACAGCCTTTGAAATTCATGTGACACATCTTCCAAACATCTTACTGTTAGTTTCTCAGCCACGTGACCTAATATTCAGCAAGTTGTCCAGTTTCACTAAAGCCTACCATGTGATGCGCGCGGTTGCGTGCGGAGCTAAACTGGTACTCCTATATCGTATCTGGACAAAATAAAACCGTGTGGCTCAATATCTATTTTACTCATCATAGTTTCCCTTCGAACATCTCATTTTTGGAAACTCTGGAAGTGAATCGGCCACCTTCACAAGTCACTTCAAAAGTGTTTATATTCGCAGGATCTGTTTGTATAAACCAGTTTTGTCCAAAAAATACCAACTTTACTGGAATTATCTTGCTATATGGTGCGACTGTGGAGCAGACTCAACCTTGTTCAAACTCTCTTCAAGTTCAACTTTACGGGTTGAAGTTGTGCCACTTTGCAATGGCCACTGAGCCTTCGGACCATCTTTGTTGCTTTCCTGGTAATGTTGTTGCATAATTTCACCGCACTCCAGTTCATATTTTTCAAGATAGAAACCTTAAATCAGGCACGACGCCGATTTGAAGCGGAAATACTGCACGGGACAGCCCTCATAACTCTTCTCTAATCATTTATAGAAACCATTTTGTGGATGTTCTGATATTGTAGAATATCTGGAGACGTAGGAGCTTTTCAATTATCCATGAGCAGTGCTAATGACTGTCCGAAGTTCTTTGGAAAGACTCGCGAACCGTGCCAAGCACCATGAAATGCATAAACTTTACCTTTTCTTTCAAAAGGCGAGTACGAAACATTCCATAAATTTAGCTACTGGGTGTGTTTGTAACAAACATTCAATTTCACAGGCAGGTTGGTTGTTTCCGATAATGTAGTATTCATTTTCACAGGGTGACCTTATATTATGAAACGGTGCAAAAATCGAAAAATAATTACAAAAAAGTTCGAAGAAAAGCTGCTCCCACCAAAATTGCGATACAGGGGTTATTCGTAGTGGGGAATCATTTGGTGATAGTGGAAAAATCACCAGTTGGCTGCTGGTCCCGGAAATGCAATATTTTAGGGTGACCTTATAGTTATGACATGTACATGGGTTCTACCTTGTAGTGGGGTACGGTGGGCGGATTCCCTAGCTCATCGAAACAACTTCTATGATCCAGAGTCCTTTAGGGTGACCACACACTGGACAACCATAGCCCAAGATCGAGAACAATGGAAAAGAAGTTGGGACCCGCGCAAGGCCAACCGCCGTGCTGATGGACGGGTCGTCTAAGTATTCTTATAGTTATGAAACGCACTGTATGTTCACGGTACCAAGACGGCCTTAAAATGGTTTGGATACGCTTAAAGGCAAGATTCGGGATAAAATAGGTGTGGAAAAGCGTTCAGTCATGAACTATAGGTGGGAGGTGGTCTGTAAAAGAGAAGGAAAGCAAACGAAACCACCGATTACGCCCCGTACAGAGACCTCCCCTATTTCAGCCACATTCCACCTTGGGATAGAGAAGAGGCGCGTTGGACGAGTTTCACGAACCTAACTCTAGTTGCTCCAGTGCCAATGACATTGGGTCGCGTGGGACCGCTGCCTCAAATGCGCCCGCGCTTTTCAAGCAGCGCCACGTGGCAACCGACAGCGGAGGGTGGGGCTTGCGGACGAAGGTGTGAGTTGCGGGTCGGACGAGCTCCTTGCGCCTTTGTCGCGCACTTTCAAGCGGCAAAAGGGGCGCGACATCAACGCTTGTCCGCCTGCCTACTACCCCCGGGATGGAAGAGGCGAGCGCGCCTAATCGCGGAGCCTATCATCCACTCACTGGGTCAATGAACTTAGGTACGTGGTGCGGAGCTTCGTTCAACTGCGCCGTGCTTGCCTTGAATCGAGTGGTCGAAATGATTCCTCCTGCGAGTTTTCTTCGCTTCCTCTTCGAGGGTGTGTTCTGCATTGGCTATTGTGGATCTTCGGTCAAAATTTGACTTCAGCATTTTTACAAATCAGGCTAAAACTCATGCGTGTCTCATGTCCTAGTAGACCTTCCTTTTTTAGGGAAAGCCCTTGGAATTTGGATGAGGTTGTCTGTGTTGTACATGGTTGCTCTTCCATTTATCACACGAACGCATCCATACAACTCTTTGATCAGTACGTACATCCCTTCTCCAATGATCACAGACGATGAAATCAATGTGAGCCATTCTTTTGTTTCGTTTTTTGTTTTGCATCTAAATATCTAAGTGTTAAAATTTTATGACCAATAAGTGTTTAAATCAATGTAAAAACTGGTACTGCTGCTCACAACTGTCTTTAAGCAATTACTGAAGGAAAATGACAACTTCTTCAGACGTGATTTTTATAAGCTCCGGATGGGCCTGCACCAGTGGCCAAAAAACAATTGACTACCGTTTTTTTAAGGTTTTCTCGCCTAAACATCGCTGAATCGTCTACGAATTTGCACCAGATATCTATAAAGTATTTTATAGTACAGAGAAGAAATACAAACCAACCTTCAGCTCACATCAGGGTTGAAAAACTATGGATTATTCGGATTTTTTGGAAGCCGGCAAAAATCACGTAATCATTTTACACCCATTACATTAGGCATCTCTAGCAGATTGCTAAAAATCCTCTGAACCTTTTAAATTACTAATAGCTGGGTTTGAATTTGAAGTCAATTAATGAACTCACTCTCTGGTGAGGCGTGTTGTTCCATTTTCTTTGAATAGGTCCAGATTTTCGCTAAATTCTTAGCTCTATTTTTGACAAAGGTTTCTGCAGCTTCTCCCGTTGTTGTTTTGTGATGTTGACTGAGGAGACTGACTCCATGAAAAACATCCTGTACTGTACTTGTACGTTTTCTGGAACACTCAAATCAACCCTCCGCCGCGTTTTACGGTGCAGATGGTGCTTTGGATCCGACGTTCCCCCGATCCGACGTTCGGGGTGCCGTAAATGAATAGTATCCTAACTGCCAAACATTACAAATTCATTCTCGTCGTTTCAGGTCACGGTGGACGCCTCCTATTTTACTTGGCTGAGCACACTCCTCTTGCACTCATAGCGGGCACTTTTCATAGTCTTTAAGACGCAGTGAATACATAGTACGAGATAGATTCTAGAAGGTGTTACGTATTCGCGGACACTTAAGTCGCTTTCTGTCATCAGAGTAACGACTTGTAGCATAGTGCACCTCAAATTCAAAGGTGATTTCGACGCTGTGTAACCAGGTTAGTTTCCTGCGCAAAGGAACGCAGAACCATCACGGGAGGAGCTGCAAAACGTTTGCCGAAAAAGAGCTACGAAGGTCAGAGAAAATGTGGTCCCATCCTGAAATTTTCCTGAAATTCTGAAAAATGGTACATTAGAGAGTATGCGCATTAAAGGACGAATTCACGATTAGAATGAAGGTCGAAGAAGGAGTAATTCACCTAGTTGAGGGACCCGCGGACCTCCTAAGGGTGCGGACTGAAGCGCAATTGCACCGAAGGAGTTGACCTCGGCGACCTATTAAGGCTCAATCTTGGCGCGGTGGGCCAACGTGCACGTCGGCGCAGTCTGATGCGTAGCAAGGCGATTAGATATGTGAGAAGAGCGTACCGCTGGAATGAGGGCACGCGGGCGACTTATATATACGGAGAAGAAATAAAAAATGCAAAATGCTCTCTTGTTTCAAGTCGAAGGCGACTGAAGTTATTGGATGGCGCTAATAGCAGAAATCCATCCTTTTATTATCCACTACTATTGGAGCGTTCAAAATGGTATAACAGCAAATTGTGTAGCAGATCAAATGCAAGCCATGCAAAATCACTGAACGAGGCATAGAGCTCATGTCTCTGTGGGATGGACAGGCTTTTTGAGAAGATAAAGCAGCACATAACGAGAGGCTTGCAATAGGAGTCATGTCGCATCTCTGTGCCCCTAGCGCTTTAAATGTAGTTGGACTATGCGGAATCAATACCGAAAGCCTTCTCATTCGTTTTATTCCTATGCTTAATAAATAGAGAAATTAGGGAGCCGAGCCTATTCTGTAAATAAGAAAATCTAAAAGTATTGAACGGCTTCTATCTTACAGCTTCCAATAAACCTCTCGGCCCTGTTTTTGAGTGTTTGGCAATACCACACCTCCTGTAGCAACGCCACCAATCCTCTTAGACATGGGAACGAACTAGGTGTTGGGTAGAGCACCTACTTGCGCTGAGGAATGGCGAGAAGTGATTTTTGAGTTCGTTATCGTTGCGAACCCAGAACTCAATCCGAAGGTGACGAGGCAGGGTCAATAGTAATTAAAACAATAACCAGCACGTCAACCTATGCCGTTGTTTAAATGGCATTTGGGTAGATGAGCAAATGGTAGTCGGACGGCGCAATTTGTGCTAATGCTCATCAATAGCAGTAAAGTTTAGTTGTAGCGGCTCCCCGTGAACGCAACATTCGCAGCCTTATGAGCTCTAACAGTTGTACCCCAGGTTCCGTTTCGGATTCGACGCTGAAATCCTTGTCTCTATGCTATCTGCCTAGTAGTGGTGTTTCCGCATGTGGCTTTGAAGAACCTGCTTCCTGATGCCACCAACAAAGTTGTCGCATTCAATGAGTGGCATGTGGCGAATCAAAATATTAAGGCGAAATCTTTTCGCCTTTGAAGCTGGCAGTTACTCAGATATTTTCTGCCGTGATTTCACTTCTTTACGAAGCGAAATCAGTGAACAGCAGTCGCACCGACTACGCCAGAAAAGCTCTGAGACTTTTTGAGCATTGCACCGTTGCTACGTTCCAGACAGCATCAGGAGACTCGTATGGAAAACCAGATTTGTTTCCGAGCAGTGGCAGCCAAATGTACGCCACGTCTGAAAGGCAGTCTGTGATCCATCGCAGTGCGTGGGCTTCTTGCTACATCGCTTCCATCGACGCACTTATTGAATTCTGGCAGGTGCAGTCGAACATGCTCTCACTGCCAGAGGATTTCTTGGCTACAATGACTTCAGGTAGCTACGGGAGAAGTGCTCTAAGAAAGTGAAGAACGTTCACACAGTCTAGATGTTCCAGAAAACTTCTAAAGTTTTTGCAACATGTAGTTGGAATTAGAATCAAGAACTTTTCCGACAACCTAATAATTTGACCAGCGATGCTGCCAAATGCCACCGCCAGCGACACTAAATCACACCATAAAGCATTTCGCAATAAAGCAGAAGATATTATTCGTCACTCTTCAGCCCATTTTTTATTTCCATAGCGACCGCAATGCTTTGCCGATCGCTCCATTACTAAACATTTTCATCAAAATAATTTATATGGGTGAGATGAATCTTATTCTCCGCTAATGGAAAACGAGAAGAGATTTATGATCGGAATGCCACCAAATGAGGTAGAAACTCAGGTTGCCAGATATGCAAAAAACATTTATGAATCTTAGCTCTACACAACACACAACATAGGTGATCTTCATTGATTGAGAGCGTTTGAATCTTCAGTTCTGGAAGTTACCTTCTGAGTTCATCGAGTTCTTTCAGAATCTGCTCATCTGCCAAAGTTGCAGACATTTGAACCCATTATATGAAGAATTTGTTTGCCACGCTAAACTGAATGGGACTGCATAAACAAGTGTTCATCGGAACATACGCGAACGCTTCTTCTGCGCTACCTTTGCCGTCATTCATAAAACTTACAAAATGCCCACGAGCCCATCAGAAACTGCGAAATAGCTGTGGTTCCAAAAAAATGTGAGAGTATTCCAGCATGCTTGTTGCTCCTGCCAGTCATCTCAGGCAGCGCGTTGAGTCAATTTCATAAGATGACGCGCAAACTAACGAGGATTCAAGTCCTTTCTGACATTCCTCTAGCTATCTGTTACCCGATCACAATTTTAGTTGCGCTATTCTCCGAATGACATTCTCTTGGATTAATGAAAAGTATTATAGCAGAACAACTTGCAGAATTTGACGATACACACATCCTATTTGTGGTGTTTACTGAAGACTCTTTCTGTTGATTATTCCCAATGGGATGCAAAATTTTTGAATAGGTCTGGACCCACCAAGAGTCTTAGTTTGTCCAGTGAAGGATCATAGTGGATGTTTTCAGGAGAAATAGTTAGACTTTTTAGACTCAAGGTACGGGTAGATAGGTACAAGATGGTGTTGTTCACCTCGAATTTCTGTTGCTCGTAGATTCAGTGTTTGAAGATCGTTCAAAACTTTTTGAAGGTGTCCACAAACTTTTAAAACGGACTGTATAGTACCAGATTGGCTTCTCTGATCGCAATAGTTCTTACGGATAGCTCGAGGAAGACCCATCGTCAAGAGTTCTATACTTTGGGCGATATATCGACGACATTTTCATCGTTGGGAGATTTCGAATAGCATTGCGACACATTAACAATTCGATCAGAAAGTGTGAGTCGATCAAGTTAGCAGCTGAACGCCATTCCCCAGTTGGCTTTCTCCCATTTCTAAATACTGAAACCAGGAAAACGTGCGGTCACAGTAGCACCATGTGGTACATGAAACCGGCACCTATAAACACATTTTGGCATGCTAGGTATTGCTAACCTGTCCTCATGAGCTGAATGTGGTTCGCCTTCTGGTCTATCCACATATAAGCCGACCACCGCGAATATGGAGACGTATGGTGATGAAATTCAAAATGGGACAAGCGAAAGGCAAACAAACGAGTAGCGGTCACATTCCGATAGATCTGGTAAACCACTGCACTGCAATCGAACGCTTCTTTCAACGAATCCACACGATAGCTGTTGCCTTCGGACGGATTGACGGAACACCTGCCATTCTGAAAAAAAAGGGTATCAAGCAATGAATTTTTAAAAGAGTGAAGAGAAAAGCGTGCAAGTAACGCCCAAATTGCATACTAGACCTCACAGACTAGGCAGTGCTATTTACCACAAATTGATGGCTGAGAAGTCCCTGCGTGGCCTACTTTCCTTTTGCTTTCCTTTCCTGAAGGAGAGCACGCAGATCGTTAGCACCATCACAGACGGACTATCATTGTAATAAAGAAAGTGTGATATAGTACGTCTACACTCCGTCTACAAATTGAGTGACGATTCACGCATACCAAGAATACACGTTACGCTTATATAACAAGCAATCGAATCACTCAGCTGACACTGGGCTCATCTCCTTCTAGTGCAATCGCACGGCGTAACCGGACGTCTCTCTTTTCGAAAGTGGCAGGATCTTTATGATTTAATAATGCTAGACCACAAAATGCACAACACAACCTTCAGGTATCTATATCTATCATTTTTATTTAGATCAAATAAAATGCAACGCATTACTGTGAAAAGCGATAGGCACTATGAGAGCCATGTGGCATGAAGAAGCAGTGGTGAATGCAGCGGCACCATTTATATGGATGGATCTAGAACGCTTCGAAGAATAGCGGTTTTTCTTCTGATCACCAAGTGTTTGAAACTAACTTGGGCTCTAGTTTGGCAGCATTTTGTTTGAAGTATTGTGTTTGTGGTATCGCAATGAAATCATGCCTGAACCCATAATTTCACTTTACTATACAAGCGGTTTTTTTCCTTCTCCTCTCTTCCCCTCGTCCTCTGCCCTCTTCCCCAGCTGCCACTCAATGAGGAATGGCTGAGAATGTCGCAAGTCCTTCGGCTTCTCAATCCTCTTAGCGGTTGCTTTTCTCTATCAGCGGCCTTCACTTTGCGGACGGACAGGCAGACAAACTTACACACATACACACAAACAAACCGACACGCCAAGGTTGTGGTTTATATTATGATGTCAACCACTATTGAAATCGTTTCTGTATTGTCAGCAATTGCCACGCTATCAAACACTGGGGGAAGGCAACAAAAAAGTAACTCTACTCCCATATCCAAAAGGGAATTTATATTGGAACTGAAGCATTCAAACTGAAAATTGAAGAGCACAGCCTAGTTCATAGGGGAATTCATAGTTGAGCTTAAGGCTAGAGCGATTACCGTGGGCCTCTTGAAGGAGAGCCTGCTTCCGCTTATGATGGGTATTCAGGGAATATTTTGCCTTGATTTTCAAATGGCGGCATACTGTGCGGCAAAAAGTTTGATGACGTGCGTCTGGACAAAATAAGTTTTTTGTCTTCTCTTTGTACATATAGAGGCGCAGCCGGGCTATCGCCGCGGAAGCAACTGAAATAAATCCTCATTCCTCTTCTGATCGTTAATCTCAGCTCCCATCCTTTTGTTTGAATTCGAGCATACAATGTTTGGGCGCCATTGAAGATCATTTCCTGAGGTGGACCTTAACATCGTTCTCTTGCACGTTAACTCTCGATAGTAAAGCGACCCCTCATTCTCTGTGTACATTAAAAGAATCAATAAGAGGTCAACCTCGCAGGACATGACGTACTTGAGATAAGGCGAATTCGAGTGATAGCGAGGAACTTTTATCACCGCGGAAGGAGGAAGTTGTTTAAATGTACAGGGCAGTGTCGGAGTTATCTGAAATAGAATCAGTGGAAGACAATAATTGCAGATGTTTGTTGCGTGAAGAAAAGTGGTTATCTATCCGCTTGCCGTGAGAGCTCCTGTATGATTCCAACACTACTACAATGATCACCTCGAGGCACCTTACCTGCGAGAGATGCAGGAGCATGGCAAGGGTAGCGACGATAAGCGCATCGTTTAAACTCACCTTTGCAGGTGGAAGTCGCAGAGCTCGAATGATCCCAAACCCACCTTGCTTGCGATTAAGCTCTAAAGCCTAGCTACCTTAAGAACGATGGGAACACAATAAACCTACCTTGAAGTTAAGAGGGAGTGTCGCATTGCTAGGTTCCCTCCAAATTTACCACGACCATTCGAAAATGGTTTCATGAGCCCCCGGGCTCATTATTTATCTCAGTTTCGATAGAACTCTATAAAGCGTTCCATAGAAGAGGTTCAAGGATGGTCGTGAAATTTGGTGTCTATGAAGTGGACATTGACTACGATAAATGACACATTTTTCGCCGAAATACTTTTCAACGTAGAATGTGATACACAGAGTAATGTTAATGAAAATAAAGAAAGTGATAAGATTCGTAGGTGTGCTGCGACGAGAAGATGTCGCAGTAAATAATTGTTGTACTGGGTTTCCAAACACTTTACTAGAAAGAAGTAAACTATCACAACAACGCACTAGTTGACTGCAACGGGATAGGTGGAACGCGCTTCGAACCTGCTCCATCATACAACCTTTCAGCTGTTTTATTGCATGGAGGGAATAAATTAAGTTCATATCAGTCAGTCAATCCGCTAATGTAGGCTATGCATTTGTGTTCGATTCAGAAGCATGGCAGTGCTGTGTGGGCTTCTGCAATACCAGTTTAGCTCCGCACGCAACCGCGCGCATCACATGGTGGGCTTTAGTGAAACTGGACAACTTGCAGAATATTAGGTCACGTGGCTGAGAAACTAACAGTAAGATGTTTGGAAGATGTGTCACATGAAGTTTCAAAGGTTGTCCAATTTTGCTGAAGATTGTCGCGTAATGCGCGCAGTAGCATGCGGAATGAAATGGTACTTATCATGACTTCGTAAACATTTAGCATTGATATCGAGCTCGGGCGATTTAGCGGTTTATAGAATTCCACAATTGAAGAATCGGTGTGTAAGTGAAATATAACCAATCAATCAGCATCTAACCGAGCTATGATGGAAATTGGAAATATGATTTTATTCGCTATTAGTCCAAGTCCAGATAGTTGAGCAGCTCAACTTTCTTTGCTTCTTTAGATGAAAGGGTAGGAATGGAACATATTCACGTGCTAGGGACCTGGTTTAGTTTAACTGAGTGCACGCTCAATTTCGCTACTTTTATCAGTACAGTTGCCGCTCATACCACTTTCTGTCACCCACATTCAATCCTCGCCACCTTGTTCCCGTCCCATTCCTTACACCACATGTGAAAGCCAAGGTTTCAATGTCACCGCGAGGGCAGCAACGAAACTGGTGGTATCCATACTTTTACGCCCCTTATCAGTTCTTATCAGTTGCTACCACATTCGTCCACTCAACTTCTTGGTCCCCGCCTCACCCCACATATCATATATGAGTGCAAACTTTCCACCATCAACGCGAACGGTGTAACGCAATTGGTGACATCAACATTTCGGCGTCCGTTATCAGCTTCTATCAGTAGCTATCACTTCCCGCCACCCACTATCAGTGTTCACGCCCGGCCCCGTACATATCCTAGAAGTTTGAGCGCTCTTGGTCCAAAGGGAGCGAAGTTATGAATTTCCGGTCAGACACACACACACACACACAACACACAACCGCTTAGCCGATTATATATAGTAGGATATTGTACAAGAGCGCATTTCCGAGCAAAGCTCCATAACTCTTGAGATAATTGTATCGCAGCAAAAGTCATTCTTCTGGCGGCAAATCTCAAAGCATGGCACCTTCCACATTCTTCTCTTTGGCCAATTGCTGGGTTCTACCCACTACCCCGACTCTGTATTATAATCTACTATATACTCTTTTCTAATATATAATTCTACGGCGCTACTCTGAAGTCCCTCGGCTTATTTATTTATTTATTTGTTTATTTACTATTGCACAAATGATACAACGTTATATTAAATGGGGGAACAGTAACACAATAGCGTGTAAATATATAAATATATGCATATATACATGTACAGCAAATTAATACGGGAAGCTTAGGATAATACAGGAGTTCAAATAAAGTTATGACGACAAGTTTTGAAAAGCAGCTGATTGGCTAATAGAGTACGGGGGAGGCGGGAGATCCAAAGGGCCACCTAGGAGGAGAAGGGCAATGGCCGGCCAACATTGCAAGCCCAAGCGAGGGAAAAGCGACTCCGGATACCAACTTAGTAGGTCCGCCAACCCCTCCTAGAGCCGTAATGAGGTAGGGAAGGGGAATACTGGGATGAAAAAGAATAAATGGATGTTAAAATGAAAAAAATAGTCCGATTAAATGATAGTAACAAGAAGGTCAATGGCAATGTAAAAAAAATGTAGTAGTGAGTGCGACTATTGTTAGGTCATTACAAGACAACTATGAACAGGAAGCGATATTAAGAGGCTAGCAAGGAAGGAAATAAATTGATCGATCGTGTTGGCTGAAATATCGAACGGGTAGGGTTTTTCATTTGAGGCGAACGTGTCCAGGCGGTCCGGTAAGTGAACTTATTTGTTCTCAGGTGAAAATTTCAAAGGCAAATCACCATTAGCTAAACTTCGACTTTCAAAACTCAACACTAGAAATCCTTTGCTCGGTCTGATGAACAACAAAACCAAAGAATTCGACATGTTTCGTACGTGGCGTGACTTTCGGCGAGTAAATTAAGAACAAATCACTAGGGAGGTTTCAGCAAATAAAGCTATGCTCGTGCACTGTCATAAATGGACTCTTCTCCGCGACATTGTAAGCCTAATTGGAGGCTGTGGTTATTGCTCTCAATAAGAGGGTCGGCCACATCATACAGAGATTCATAAGCAGGTAACGTGAAGATATCGCACTGGAAAGCAAACAAAATGTCACAGATGCTTGATGCCTGCTAAGAAGATTGCTCTCTCAAACGGCTACCCTCCCAGAGACCAATATCTTCCTGGACCACCTATTAGGAAACATTACGGCCTTGCAATCGATGGTTTAGAAAGAGTGCCCTTCTGCATACCCTTCGTGAGTGATACATAAGCTCAGCTATGCGGGCGGCCGTGCGCAGGTGTGGTTTGGATGACATGGTACGGGTGGTCGAGGTCCCTCCGGCAAACCTCAAACAGCAATTGGTTTGGAAGCGTTGGTATGATCGTGCTTGCCTGACCATTGTGTTGTCTGTCA